AACAGCCACCCTTAAAGGTGAATGATTTTCTTCAAAATTAAATGGAGGTATCCTCTTTTCAACAAAACAAGAATCTTGAAAATCGGTTCCCAAATACCGGATGTAAATGCACCGACATACACAGGTGACCTATTAGTCTATGCTAACAATATTTCGAACTATATTTGTTTCTTGCAAATTCCTAAAAATATTAATTCATGCAAAGTAAACCCAAAACAATCAAATTCGCCTACAATTAATTCAGAGTAAATACACAATGAAATTTCTCGCTAATCTCGCCAATTTGGGCTGCGTTGGCGACCTTTGTAATGGCATCAGTTTATAGCCCATTACGATCTGAGACCGTAATCTATTACACTTGCGATTGAGCACGTTTCTAGTCAGCGTAACTTTGACCTTGGCTGTAGACTAAATTTACGCAATTCATATGGACTTCTTTTATTTTCGTGGTTGTTACATATTGGATTTTTTTTCATAATATCTATGCCTGATGGTAACTTACTGTCTATAACAGTTTTAACGCCACTCAGAGCTTTAAATCACAAATGCTGTCACCCTGAGACATAAGTTGACAAGTCCCATGTGCCTGTAATTTCACCAGCACCCTTACCCTTCAAAACCGGAGCACAGTAATGCTGACATTACCGCTTGGCGGCAGAAATAGGTAAGGTGGCAGTACTATCCTGGACGAGCTCCTTCACAAGGAGCTCTACTGCTATAAAACACAATACTAACTCTGACGAAAAACCTCAAGCAGACATAAAACTGCAGTACTACTCATTAACATATTATTTTATTTTGTTTCTAATTTCGTATTAAATAGTAATATTCAAAAGATATTAATAAATATATTATTTAAATAGTATTAACAGCATTTCCTTTTCAGAGTTTGTGAAAGGTCATTATTTTCTTTTTCAAAAGTACTTAAAGCATTAATTATGTCGATGCCAGTATTCAATTTAAAAGTTGACACAACCTGAAATGGCTTTCATTGATTCAGCATAACAGGGAACGTATTGAATCAATCAATTTGGAAAAAATATATAGGAAAATAGGAAATGAAACTATTTTTCCGGATGGTTTGTTATAATTATTAATACAAAGATCGAACACTCAGAAAAAACACTCAACAAAAATTCCTTCGATCCGGTCGGATTCGAACCGACGTCTTCTTGCATACCGTGCCAGACGCTATACCAACTAAGCCACGGAACGAACCAACGGACCTCACGAATTCTTCTATGTGCTTGCGTCGTGTCTTTGTACTTGGTCTTTCAACGACTTTTTAGTCGTAGCGCCATCTATGAGAAATCTATTACAGATTTATCACCCAGTTAGTACCTTTACAGCTACCAGTCCTGGCGAGAGATGTCGCTATTCACTGTATTAATTAAATTTTTATTGAATTGATATTCAATTATTTTTTGTGAAATTACTCCACTAGTTTGTTATAATTATTAATACAAAGATCGAACACTCAGAAAAAACACTCAGAAAAAATTCGTTCGATCCGGTCGGATTCGAACCGACGTCTTCTTGCATACCGTGGCAGACGCTATACCAACTAAGCCACGGAACGAACTAAAAATTTCAATCCGGATTTAAATCCGGAAAAATTTTTCCGGATTTAAATCGCGTATATTTGTTTTTTTCAAACAAACCGACGTTTCGGGCCCTTTACAGGTCCTATGGTCACGGTTGACTGAGGTGGTACAGTCTTCAACCAGTTATGTCTAATATTGATGCAAACCACCTTATTTTTTCACTATAGTTACAATAATTATTAATTAAATACCTTATTTTTAATTTTACAAAGAAAACATTCCAATTTTCGCTACATTAAGTTTTACAAATTATTTTATTGAATGAATTTTTATTAAGTTCAATTTATTATTAATTATTAATAGAAATTAGAATAAACTAAAACATATTAATTAGTACTGCAGTCTTATGTCTGTTTGGGATTTTTCATTAGAGGAAATACTGGATCCCAAACTGGTGGTACGGAGAAACCATCTTCCCTGTTGAAATTAGGATGTTTTTTAATTTCAATGGCCTCTCGCAGCATCCTGGGTAGATAACGGACTTCTTTTGCAAGGACCTGGGGTTTGTCAAACTTCATTGAATGTGTAGGTTTATCCATGACATGCTCACTAATATATAGTAAAATTGAGGATATTCATTTATTACTAAATGATGTGACAACACGATTGCTAAAAATTTTGACGATAAAAAAAAACACAAACTTACCTCGAAATTTTACAAGAAAACCGCTGTATTCAATACGTACTTTACATATACCAATGAATTTTTTAATATCAACTGAGCTAAACAGAACACGTATAGTGTACGATATACATTTTTCAAATTGCTTTAATTGCGTTTGTGAAAAAATAAATTCTGAAATAAAGACAGCCTCCCTGCCGTTCGACCCAAGCAAAATGAGCCGTATTAGTACGGGATAAGTTTCAATTCGAGCCGAGGTAGTATCGAGTCTTAAGATTTTACTATAGCCACCCTCTGTCTTTTAAAATAAGTTTCACTTGAGTGCACATCAACGGTATTACCCGTTGATTACGCGTCATTTGAGGGTTGACAAATTCACCGCTTATATTACGTAATAACGACAGCATTTAAGCTACGGCTCAGGATCGTTAATAAGTCCTGATCAATCAA